ATCGTGAGAAAACTAAATATTTTTGAAATAATAACAAAAGAAATAAAACCGGTCAAGTGCGAGTCTAACTCGTGCGCTGAGGGTTCCGTACCTATATATCGCCATAATAAAATTCGTAAATAATCACCACCGATTTTCTCAACAACGAGTGGACCTAGCAGGTTGAAATTAGTACCAGATACTGAGGTCTATAGTTCCTATTTGGTATATAAAAATCAAGGTCCTGAGTAAATAGGATAAAAAGATATTGCCCATATCTTTTTAGATTTTCGCGAAAACTTATAACTAACAAAATCTACCTTAAATTTAAACTATTTTTATTTTTCGATATTTTTACTTTATTTTTGCTTTTTACCACGTCTCTTCGTTTCGTCAATTTGGTCACCTTAGTTTCCCGCGGGTCACCACAGCATTATATCCGGCCTTGACTATTAATATAGCCATAGATGCTAATAATAATAGTGTTAATCACACAAATATATAAATAATCACATAAATATATTTACTTTACAGTAGTTGTAATGTCAGAAAACAAAAATAAAAAAATAGTCAAGGTGACCTCGAGCCCTCGAACCTTTTCAAATTAGTTTCCATTCAACCTTTCTAATTATTGGGAATTGACCTTTCCGTAAGACAAGTTTTATAAAAATCATATCACAACTTTTATAAAAAAATTAATTATTCAGTCACCATAATTATATTAGGCATCAGCCAACCAAGTAGATCTTCTTAAATTCATATTAAACACGTTGCATGTCTTATATCAACAGATGGCGTCATACTTAAAAATGCCCAATTATAAGAATAAATATTTGAATTTTTTAAAACAATGAAATTACCCTCAATTTATATAATAAATATAGCATGGACAACGTTTTAATGTACAAAAATATTTATTTATGACAAAAAGTGATTTTCAGTTTCTTTTTATTAACGGTCATAATCACGCAATAGACATTTTGTCGCGTATTCGTAAGTATACAACACAAAGACAAGTAAAGACAGGGGGTCAGATGCCTCGAGGGAAGCCTGTCAAGCCAAACAGGTTTAAGTTGGCAGTCAAAAGACAGATGTCCCAAAGAGCGACACTGCATCTCAGTCATGATATACCATTGTGCTGTATCGGTCCGACTACTCACCTCCCGCTCACAGAAGCGCGGATAAAATGACCTCGAGGCTAAGTCACATAACCCAATTGGGTTACCTTGACCCCTTTTTTTAATTTGTCTTTTCACTATTCACACAACGACAAGTCAAATATATCTGTTTACCTAGCTAAGAACATTACGAATAATGCAATATACATATAAATGTCAATGTGACAAAAAAAACACCTTTGAGTATAAATATTGACAGAGATGATTTCCTCCAAAATTCATTTTGCATTTCAAAATGCATTCATTTTATGTTTCAAATTGAAATTTTGAAGTTATACTTCTTTTGGCGCGTTAGGGAAAAATGATGAGAGTAAATTTTTACGATGCGCGCGCACACCGTCACCAAAAAACGACACCCTGAACTTTGCTAGACATCAACGTATATTTGATTGAGAACTGACAACTGTATTCACGATATTTATTTTGTGATATTTAAATAAACTTTATTTAACAAGAAAATGCGTTATAATAAAACTTTCAGGGTTTTTCTACAAACGAATAATTAGTAGAATAAGGCGAAAGATAAAATTTTTGAAAAGATTCTTATCTTATTAATGTTATACTATTTAATTATGACTTCTAACGCGTGTATAAAATAATAATGTACCCTATTTGATTACCAATTATAAACCTTCCTAATGGCTAATTATCACGATCACTATGGCTAAATCTACTCATTGCAATGGTTGGTGGAGGATAATATGCGTTTACCTCATGCGGATGGTAGCTGACGGGACGAGACTCAAATTCAAATACCTTTTTCAATATATTAAGCATTACACTTATTTATTGATTGCCAAAATGCTACCAACCGATTCGAAAAAGGAAAGCCGGTGTAAGAAAGTCAGTGGGACTTTTTTTTTTAACATTATTTGACAAGAAACATTTTTACAAATGTATGAAGTCCACTTGGAAGAGCCCGAAGCCAAACGTAGTGATTACATTTTCTTTGCCCGAAGCGATCAATTCATTAGGTACTTGAAACAATTGTAAGCTAAAATTTAAAAGTTCATTATTTTTAATAATTGTTCAATATGTGCAATTGCGTCTTCATGAAAAAGGTAAATTAATAACGTAGATCATTTTTATTATGTATAATTGTATAGTTACATTTCAAAACCACTAATATGCGATGCCATGAACACTGACGCAGCCGTCCGAGGTGCCTCAGAACGAATTATCGTCGGGTTCAGAACGAATTTTAGTTTCTGTATATCGGCTTTGACTAGGTCCTGTCCGTTTCACGCTCTAATGCTGCTACACAGACCATTTTTTCTGTTTTTGTTGTGGTAACATTTATTAAATATTATTTTACATATTGTGTAGTTACATTATTTTCTATGTTTTGTAAGTATCTGTTGTGATTAGAACGTGAATAAAGGTTTCTTCTTCTTCGATATTCTTCTCTCCAATGTTTTAATAAAGACGACGCATATCTATATATATAAGTGAATGTGACAGATGATTTAGAATGTATGATACAGAAAGAGATAGCAGTCTATAGAATTGCAATGTAGTTACACCTATAGACGTAATTTGAATGCCTCGATTTTGGTGCGCTAGTGTCATATCTACCTCGTGTTTGTATGTAATGTCATTGGTTCCCTCACTCTTTTTATCTCTCTCCGAGATCTTTCTTAAATAAACGTTATTACTATTCTCGCTCAAGGGAAGTTGCCAATACCATTATATGTATTTGATGATTGGCAACTACTTATCAATGAGCGAGAATAATTACTAATATCTACATAAGATGCAAGTTTTTAGTTTTAAAGTGATGATGTATTCGTCTGGTGTGCAGGTTAAAAGCGAATTGAAAGGGAATAGTATGCTTTTTTATCTGAGAAAGTGGCAAACGAGCTGGCGGTTCACGCCTGATGCTAAGTGATCACCGCCGCCCATGAACATTTGCAACACCTGTAGGGTTGCAAATGCGTTACCTTTAAACAAATTGGGCCCCGGCTACCTCACTCACCAAATGAAACAGAAGTGTCAAACTTCTACTTTACGCCGGTCTTCTGTGAGGTCGTGGTACTTACCCGGACAGACCAGCCCATTCATGCGACAGTGAACACTATTGTGTGACCCTACCACCAGTTAAAAAAGCTTAAAAAACATCAAACAACCAATTTAGTTTCTTATCATAAGAATCAAACTGCTTTCAATTTAAGTATCTTTTCGTTCCATCGTTTCCATCTAAACTATACTACCAATACAATTTTTTTCCTATTAACTAACCTACTACTTAATGTACTCTAATGTCACCAACAGGCAATTTTCAATTTCAAAATTACTTACTGTAATGTCTTGTGCTATTATCAAAATTGCTTTACTTTACAACATCCAACGCTAATTTGTCAACCGCATACCTCGTCACTCAGACGGGGGGGCTCATGATCGGATTACATTATAATTATTTATCTAATTAATAGAAGTAAACGGATATAATGTTTCATTAAAAAAGTAAGAAGACAGGAAATTTTACAATTATTTAATGATCAGAACTTTGCCTAACAAAAATACGCAGTGTCTTATTTCTATATTAGTATATACATTAGTTTGCGCTCAATCCGGAACCGGTTACGGCAAGTAAAGAACTTTGCCATATAAGTGATAACGCCTTAAAAGTTTACTAAAAATATAATGGTTTCGCAAAACTAAAAATACCCGCTAAAAATCCCTTTCAAGGGTAAGCGAGGAATACTCGCTAAAAAGTGTTTCCGCGCGTTCCCATTCTTGAAACGACGAATTTCCTGACAATAATATATATATATCATAATATATCATCTACTATATCTTATATATATATCTTATATATATAATATATCTTATATATATAATATCTTATATATATAATATATCATCATACTAAATCAAGTTTCAAATGCTAAATAACAATGTAGAAAGAAGGCGTTGGGATTTTCGTCGCTGTGGCTATCAGCCGTTTAGCTCAGTGGCTAGAGCGTCAGGCCGCGAATGCCGAAGACGTGGGTTCGATTCCCACAGCGGCGACAATCTTTTCGTACTTTTTCTATATGTTTTAATGTTCAATCTTAAGTGCAGAGATTAGCACTATAAAAAACTTTAAAAAATCATCATACTGTTTTAATTAGTAGGAATGAAATAAGACACGATTTAAAATTTATCTCATTTATTAAACTAAGTACATTAAACGTTGTCAGATATGTTTAATGCTAGCCATACTTCTCGATCATTATATTAAAAATTAAGTAAGAAACCCGACTTTTTGGCGACACTATATCGATACGTTTTTATGCATTCGCAAAACATGCCTTTTCAATAATCCTTCTTTGTGTGTTACAAATTGACAGAAGCGACATGGCAGACATTTCAAATGTTTGTGCTTAGTGACGTGACGCATATATTTAGTGCTGTCTATGGTCTTGTAGCCGCAGCGATTGCATTGCAAAGGATTCACGACAATTTTGTGAACAGTCTTTAGGTGTCGATTCAAAAATTTCCTTTTGTACGTTGAATGTTGGCATAAATCGCATTTATAGAAGTTTTCCTTATTGTGGTAGGAAGTGTGTCTATAGTGGAGGAATTTGCTAGATGTTGTGAAGGGACATTTTGTGCATCGAAGTTTTGCTTTCAAATGTACATTGACTACGTGCGCATTTAGGTATTTTCGCTTGGCAAAGTTCTTTCCGCATTTCGAACATTGGTTCAAATGCGAAGGCGCCAAATTATTTGTGAACGTGATAGCTGTTTCGGGATTTTGAGTCTCAACGGTGTTTAGCTGTTTTTCATTAATGTTTTGACAATACATTACGTTTTTTTCATTCAAAATTTCGCCGACAACGGTTCGATTAAAGTCATCACCTTGTAAATTATTATAACCAAATTTGTCAAAGATTTCGGGTTTGTTCTCCGTAAACAGGGCCGTTTTTTGACATTTAGCACGCGTGCCATCCATGGCTGCCTTAGATTTATCTACAAAGGAAAAACGATTTCAAACTTTATAAAGGAAAGATGTGGGATGTTTCAGTGTTCATTATTATGCAGGATGATTTTTCAGACGAAGTACGTACTTTGACATAATGTAAATTGAGCATTCCATAATTTTATTCAAACATTGTTATCCCGTTAAGAGTGGTCACCCATAAGCAGTTTAGTAATTCGCGTTCAGCGAAAAGTTTTAGTTCTCGTCAGTAGGTACGTTATTGTATTGAGACGGTAAGGCAGGAATTTTTTAAGGTGTCCATAATGTTTGAAAAAATTTTAAATGCTCTTTAAAAAATAAGGTCACAAGTACGCACCAGATTCAGTTAATACTCTGTTAATATGTCCGTCGTTTATAAAATCATATATATGCTAGCATTTTACGATATTTGACTTTAACCTCTACTAAACACCGGTCTTCTATGAGGCCGAGGTACTTCCCTGGACGAGTCTGCCCATTAGTGCAACAGCTTAAGCTGCTGGCCCTACCGCGGTGATAGCTCAGTGTCCGGGCGCTCGCCTTTAATTCAATATACTCGAGCAACCTGAGTTCGATCCCCGGTGCTGGCACCAATGAAGTTTTTAACTTCAAGTGCTGACTTATCACGTGATCCGCGGTGAAGGAAAACATCGTGAGGAAACCTGCATATTTTCGAAATAATAACAAAAAAATATATTTCGAAAATATGTGAAGTCCGCCAATCCGCAGTGGGGCCGCATGGTGGACTATGCCCTGATACCCTCTGTATAGAGGAGGCCTTTGCCCAGCACTGGGACATGTATATGCTGTTACTTTTACTTTTTTTTTACACAGAAAGTAACTAATAGTGTAATGAACATGAGAAAATGATATGACAGGTAACAGAAGTTGTGGAACAACTGTGGTAGGGCCACGCAACAGTGTTCGCTGTTGCAAGAATGGGCAGGTCCGTCCGGGTTAGTACCACGACCTCACAGAAGACCGGCGTGAAGTAAAAGTGTTACACTTCTGCGTTTCGTGTGGTGAGTGAGGTAGGCGGGCCCATATTTTTAAAAGGCGGCAACACATATGCAACCCTTTGGGTGTTGCAAATGTCCATGGGCGGCGGTTATCACTTAACATTAGTTGAACCGTCAGCTCGTTTACCACTTTGTCACATAAAAAATTAGGATGTATAATATGTCATTTCCTCCACTATGCTGCATACGATGTGTCTGATATATGTAAGAAGTAAAAGGCAAACAAACAGAAAGGCAAATCTCACCTGCGTCGTCATAGCCAGGTTTATTAGAATTGTATATCGTCAAATCGATATTGAGCGACCATGCAAACTCGCTGCCGTAGAACACCAAAAGTTCGCCGAACCGAGGTATTGTCTTAATGGTTCTGTGCACACACAATTAAGATGTCACAATTTCAAATTAGAATTGATCGTTTTTTTATGTGAAAAGTTGCCCAGAGAGCAGACGGTACGCCTGATGTTAAGTGAATACCGCCGCCCATGGACATCTGCTACACCCGAGGGTTCCAGCTGCGTTGACAACCTTTAGGAAATTGGGCTCCGGCCACCTCACTCACCAGACGAAACGCGAAAGTATTATACTTTCACTTTACGCCGGTCTTCTGTGAGGTCGCGGTACTTAGCCGGACGAGCCTGCCCATTCGTGCAACAGCCGAGGCTGCTGCGTGGCCCTACCACCGCTTTCCATGAGCTTTTTCGAAATATATTTGTAGTTATAGATGTGATATAAATACTGTTATTATCGTTCTGAGTGTCGATAAAGTATGTAGAATTAAATATTATACAATTTATTTATTTTTTGTTTTATGGTTTCACTTCTGTCGGGATTCCCCATGATACTACGTATGTTTATTTTACGTAACTTTAACGTATGTTGGGTACATAATTGTGTAGGATGTGTCAGTTGTACACCAATATATTAACATTGGCTGTTTATATTTAACTAGCGACCTGCCCAGGCTTCGCACCTGTGCAGTGTATTATACATATAAACCTTCCTCTTGAATCACTCTATCTAGTAAAAAGAATCCGCATCAAGATCCGTTGCTTTGTTTTAAAGATCTAAGCATAGATAGGGACAGACAGACAGCGGGACGACTTTGTTTTATATGGAGTGATCCGCGAAACATACTGGATATACGCGACGAGGTTGCACATTGGACCTGTAATAAATTTGCCCCCTGTACTGGTAAGCGAGAAGGTTCTGCTGCTGCCAGTTCCGCGAGCAGTTCACGTAGCGCATCCAGTTGGCGTGGTCGTCGTCTGCCGCGTCCACTGCGTAGGCGGGACCTACTCTGCTGTGGATCTGTTAGAGAGGGATTTGCGAGAATTGATTTTTTTTTAAATATCATTGCCCTCTCTTTAGAAGAACATTTATAGTACCATAGTTAAACGCACGCTTGAGCACATGCGTGCATTTAACTATACACACCTACCGGTTCTTCGTGAGATGGAGCTTTAATAGTCTCGGGACTGAAAGCAAAAACATCGTTAATACAAGAGAAAATTATCCTGTGTTGTAAGGACGTTTCTACTGCGGATGTCTAACACACATCCGCAGTATATCCAAGGTAACCGACATAGCTCAGAAGATTAGCAAGCCGAAGTGGCGATGGGCCGGCTATATAGCTCGTAGAACAGATAACCGTAGGGAAGAAAGTTTCTCGAGTGCAGTCTCGTACTGGCCATCGCAGTGTAGGACGACCCTTATAGATGGAGTGACGACCTGTGCAAATGTGCGGGAAGATGGATGCAGATGGCACAGGATCGTACTTCTTCTTATGGGGGAGGTCTATGTTCAGCAGTGGACTCAAACTGGCTGAAATGATGTAGATGACGACGTTTCACATAAATAAATTACACGCGAACAAACAATCAGACCCGGAATAATTACCTGTGGGTCACACATATTGTCACCGAGTGGGAATCGAATCCACGACCCCCGGCGCCCAAGTTATCAAGATTAGCAGTTGCCAAGGTATATATGCCTTGGCAAAAGCGCCACGGAGTCATCAAAAGTTGTTGGTTAACTGTTGTTCTAGTGATAAATTATCCACCTGCCAGCAGTACTGGGAACCGATCCCTCGCGTGATCCGCCCTCGGTAAGGGCCGAAGCGTACGCCGGCCGGCAGCGGCCAAGTCGCGAACACCCCGACACCAGAGTCTGTATTTAAAAAAAATTGTGTTTCTCTTCCTGTCTGACTCCCCTTACTTTTTTTATGTGATAGACTAGCATACAAGCTGGCGTTTCGTGCAACAGCCGAGGCTGCTGCGTGGCCCTACCACCGCTTTCCATGAGCTTTTTCGAAATATATTTGTAGTTATAGATGTGATATAAATACTGTTATTATCGTTCTGAGTGTCGATAAAGTATGTAGAATTAAATATTATACAATTTATTTATTTTTTGTTTTATGGTTTCACTTCTGTCGGGATTCCCCATGAGACGCCGTATGTTTCTTTTACGTAACTTTAACGTATGTTGGGTACATAATTGTGTAGGATGTGTCAGTTGTACACCAATATATTAACATTGGCTGTTTATATTTAACTAGCGACCTGCCCAGGCTTCGCACTGTGCAGTGTATTATACATATAAACCTTCCTCTTGAATCACTCTATCTAGTAGAAAGAATCCGCATCAAGATCCGTTGCTTTGTTTTAAAGATCTAAGCATAGATAGGGACAGACAGACAGCGGGACGACTTTGTTTTATACTATGGAGTGATCCGCGAAACATACTGGATATACGCGACGAGGTTGCACATTGGACCTGTAATAAATTTGCCCCCTGTACTGGTAAGCGAGAAGGTTCTGCTGCTGCCAGTTCCGCGAGCAGTTCACGTAGCGCATCCAGTTGGCGTGGTCGTCGTCTGCCGCGTCCACTGCGTAGGCGGGACCTACTCTGCTGTGGATCTGTTAGGGAGGGATTTGCGAGAATTGATTTTTTTTTTAAATATCATTGCCCTCTCTTTAGGAGAACATTTATAGTACCATAGTTAAACGCACGCTTGAGCACATGCGTGCATTTAACTATACACACCTACCGGTTCTTCGTCAGATGGAGCTTTAATAGTCTCGGGACTGAAAGCAAAAACATCGTTAATACAAGAGAAAATTATCCTGTGTTGTAAGGACGTTTCTACTGCGGATGTCTAACACACATCCGCAGTATAACCAAGGTAACCGACATAGCTCAGAAGATTAGCAAGCCGAAGTGGCGATGGGCCGGCTATATAGCTCGTAGAACAGATAACCGTAGGGAAGAAAGTTTCTCGAGTGCAGTCTCGTACTAGCTATCGCAGTGTAGGACGACCCTCATAGATGGAGTGACAACCTGTGCAAATGTGCGGGTAGATGGATACAGATGGCACAGGATCGTACTTCTTCTTATGGGGGAGGTCTATGTTCAGCAGTGGACTCAAACTGGCTGAAATGATGTAGATGACGACGTTTCACATAAATAAATTACACGCGAACAAACAATCAGACCCGGAATAATTACCTGTGGGTCACACATATTGTCACCGAGTGGGAATCGAACCCACGACCCCCGGCGCCCAAGTTATCAAGATTAGCAGTTGCCAAGGTATATATGCCTTGGCAAAAGCGCCACGGAGTCATCAAAAGTTGTTGGTTAACTGTTGTTCTAGTGATAAATTATCCACCTGCCAGCAGTACTGGGAACCGATCCCTCGCGTGATCCGCCCTCGGTAAGGGCCGAAGCGTACGCCGGCCGGCAGCGGCCAAGTCGCGAACACCCCGACACCAGAGTCTGTATTTAAAAAAAATTGTGTTTCTCTTCCTGTCCTGACTCCCCTTAATTTTTTTATGTGATAGAGTAGCATACAAGCTGGCGGTTCACCTGATGTTAAGTGATGACCGCCGCCCATGGACACATGCAACACCCGAAGGGTTGCAAATACGTTGCCACCTTTAGATAAAGTGGGCCTCGGCTACCTCACCCAGACGAAACGCAGAAGTGTAAAACTTCTACGTTACGCCGGTCTTCTGTGAGGTCGTGGTACTTACCCGGACGGCCCTGCCCATTCGTGCAACAGTGAATGCTGTTGCGTGACCACAACAAATGAATAGAATAAGACATACTTAACTACTTCTTTAAAAACCCGTACAAAAGTAAGTACTACTTTAGGGAGAAAGGATTTGTGGGAGCTTCTTTCAATTATTTGTGTGTTTTTATCATCATCTCCTCCTACCCTTATCCCACCTAGGTGGGGTCGGCACACCATGTGAATCATGTTGTAAGCTGTTTTGGTTACATTTTTTTACGACCAGGCGGCTGATTGTAAAAAAATATTGCCTGACAATTATCTGTTGGTCACACAAATACTTGTACCGTGTGGGAATCGAACCTTCAACTCCCGAAACCGAAGCCTTAGCAAAGGCGCCTTCGAGTCATCTTCTTCATAATAATGAAAGTTGTACAAATAGAGCCGGAAGCTTAGTGCCGGCACTCGCTTTCAATTCATTATACAGTTCAAATCCTAAAAATTGTAAGGTGGTAATTGCTCGCCTAGCGGTCTATGTCCTGAAATCCTGTGTACCGAGGAGACTTACTCTGCAATTGGATATATTAAATACAAGCGGGTACTATACTTTACCTTTAAATGCACAGAGTAAATGATGTGTATCGAGGAGACTTAATCTGCAATTGGATATATGAAATACAAGCTGGTACTATACTTTACCTTTAAATGCACAGAGTAGGCAGAGATGATTAACAAATGATTATAACCTACAAACCTGATATGGCTGAAGGGGCTAGGTGCAGAAATTTACTTGGTATGGTGAACGCAGCTTTTGGAATGCGCAACGGTAAGTTACATTGCTTTGGTACCTGCGAGTTATACATTAGATAATAGTTATGAAGTTAAAATTACCGGGAAAATTATTATTTTCTTTCCAAATTTTGGAGCGTATTTGTTTTTGATGACTTATACTCTTTGGCGTTACAACGAAGCAAGATATTGGCAAGATTTTTACGTAAACATTGTTGATACGATTGAGAAAGACTGCTTATGACGCAAAAATAAACATATTTGCTCTAATATTGATTGACACACAGGGCGTGGAATGATCCCACGTGATCACTTAAAATTTAAGCATTCTAATCATTCAGAAGGTCAGTCTGTTCAATCAGAGAGTTTAACCATCCTTTTGGCAACATAAATAATAGTTGAAAAGCCATTTGACAGCTGATTAGTGATAGCTCAGTGTCCGGGCGCTCGCCTTTAATTCAATATACTCGAACAACCTGAGTTCGATCCCCGGTGCCGGCACCAATGAAGTTTTTAACTTTAAGTGCTGACTTATCACGTGCTCCGCGGTTTCGTGGCAATTTTCGAAATAATAACAAAAATATTTCGAAGATAGTGAAGTCCGCCAATCCGCAGTGGGGCCGCGTGGTGGACTATGCCCTGATACCCTCTGTATAGAGGAGGCCTTTGCCCAGCAGTGGGACATGTATAGGCTGTTACTTTACTTTACTTTTAGTTAACTTCTGCGATGATCAGTGTTTCAGAAACCGGGCGCGAGAGTCGTAGTTGGAACATCATTTAAATACATGCGACATTTTGTCGTCGCAAAATTTTGAAACCGGTTCTTAGTCATTGCCCAGCATGACGTGAACTGAAGACAAGACGTCCCAAATTGGGACGTTTTCAAAATATAAGTAGTATAACATTTATAACTATTGTTAGTCCCTAAATGAAAACACAGTTCCTTTACCTTTGTTTAAAATTGCGCAATATTGTGAGTTCGACTTGCGCTTTCTGTTATGTCTATGTCAAGCGTGCCGTGATTGGTTTCCTGAGTGATATATTTTGTTCACACTTACGCTAAAGTGACAAAGCACTCGCCGTCCTCTTTTTTAACCGACTTCAAAAGGAGGAGGTAATCTTATATTCGATTGGTATATTTTTTTTCGATGTATGTACACCGATTACGCGGAGATTTATGATCCGATTCACGCGATTCTTCTTTATTTTGATGCAGAACAGTTGCCATTTGGTCCCATAAAAATTTCAAGTAGCTTGGCCCAGTAGTTTTCATTTTATAAACATTTTTACAAGATTAAAAAATGTAGAAAAAGTACGAAAAGATTGTCGCCGCTGTGGGAATCGAACCCACGTCTTCGTTTTTCTACATGTTTTAATGTTCAATCTTAAGTGCAGAGATTAGCACTTTAAAAAACTTAAAAATTTTTAAAAAAGCACTGGCGACATCTCTCGTTCGAATTATCGTTGTAAAACGATGTTCGAAATTGTTTGTATACTGGAAAGGATATAACAATAGATGCGCCAAGCATTGCTTTAAATGCTAAATTACAATGTAGACAGAAGGCGTTAAGATTTTCGTCTCTGTGGCTATCAGCCGTTTAGCTCAGTGGCTGGAGCGTCAGGCCGCGAATGCCGAAGACGTGGGTTCGATTCCCGCAGCGGCAACAATCTTTTCGTACTTTTTCTACATGTTTTAATGTTCAATCTTAAGTGCAGAGATTAGCACTATAAAAAACTTTAAAAATGTTTACAAGATTTTATTTAGTTTCACCTGTCATATGTATCATATTGTTACGATTACGGTGTTGACGTCTGAAATACCGGTCGATGACGGTTTGGAATGACGTATATTATTTCAAATTATTAGTGTAGTTTTTAAAGGAGGATAGAATTCCAGAACTTTTTTAGTTTATAGAACAATCTATTACAGACACTAAAAAGTAAACTTGTTATTGCTTTAATTACGCTACCCTTTTCATACCATTCGACATAACTACTCGTATGTGAGTAATGATTAACGAAACTTGTAAACTCTAGAACAGTTTTGATCGATGATTTTGTAAGCGTATAACATATCTATAGTATAAAATATAATTGCTTCCGTTAATACAGCTTTGCATAAGTAAAACCTATTTAAAAATTACTAATTTTTGTTTAAGCTTGTCAAGTTTTCGCGAAAATCTAAATTTGTCCATATCTTGATATTTTATTGACTCAGGATCTTGATATCTATAATACACCTAATAGGGACTATAGACTTTAGTATCTGGTATAAATCTCAAATTATTAGGTCCACCCGTTCCTGAGAAAATCAGTGGTGACACACGGACAGACAGACGGAAGAGAGTAATCTTATAAGGTTTCCTTTTTTACCTTTTAACGTACGGACCCCTAAAACAGTATAAAGTCAGAATATGGTGTTGGTTACTCTGGATGTTTGAGTGATATGAATTTAGGCGAAGTATGTTTAAGGATCAAAGCCAAACAAGTTTATTTGCATATTCATTATAAATTGGCTTACCTCGTCATCCGGTATGACCAGTAAAGGACCATGTATCGAACAATACTCGTACACGTTGAAGCAGCAGCGAGAGCAAACTGTATGAAGAATATTTACAGTTCGATCGTATTATTAAGACTATTTTATTTATCTGTTTTCGTATCGCAATTAAGGGAACATAAACATAAGGTGGCAACGCATCTGCCACACTACGGGTGTTGAAAATGTCCATGGGCGGCGGTTATCACCAGGTGATCATCTAGGTCGCTTGCTAGTCCAGCCCTGTAGTCCCGGGCTCATAGAATAGGGCTAAGGTATCCCCTGCCTGTCGTAAAAGGCGACTAAAAGGGGACACGGATGGGCAGCAGCAAGAAGTGGTCTCGTGTTGCTGCAAGAGGGTGAGGGGATCGGAGAAGGTTTATCCTTCTCCGAGGCGTGCTCAGGCGTAGTACCGAGGGACACCGGTGCGTTCCATGCGAGATCCCGGAGTCCCTCCAAATGTACAGAAGGCGGCCACCGAGGGGGTTTTAGTGGGAAAGAACCCCACATAACCTTGTCATGTAAAGTGAAGCGAAGATTTCCCCCCCGATACCAAAAAAAAAAAAGGTCGCTTGCTAGAACGGAAACTATGACTACCTATAATCTAATATATGAAATTCTCGTGCCACGGTGTCAGTTATTTGAAACGGCTCGACAGATTTACGTGAAATTTTGTGTGCATATCAGCCAGGGTGGAGAATCGGCCAACATCTATTTTTCATCCCCCTAAATGTTAGGGGTGGTCCACTCCAAACATTTTTTTCTACCCTACAAATAATTTATATGGCAAAACAACGTTTGCCGGGTCAGCTAGTAATGATATAATACTATGAATGCAAGAACCAATAGTTACACTTACAAATATATTCGTCGGAGTTTTCTTCTTTAGCCTCTGCCTGATTGACACGCGGTAGTCCGCACAATTTAGAATTCATTGTTTTCAAACCTGTATAATTATATTAATAATATTAGCATGTTACAATCATAAACTATGAATATTGAACAGATCGTGTTTGTACTAGTTCTAATTAGCCACATAAAATTCGGTAAAAGTTACGAATATGGAAAGCAGCGTGTTTCTTAGGATTAGAAATTAAATTTGTTGTTTGTATCGGCTGAAATGTAACTACAGTAGCCAGTCTAACGTAACATAACTTTGTTTAACAACTGTTTAACTTTATTTTGTTTTAGAGACCAGAGCAGTCATAGACTATGGGCAATAGTACAAGCGTTATTTTATTTGGGACTAGAAAACGTTATGTAAAAATATGTCCTGAAATGTTTAACACATTTACATTTTAAAACGTTACATTATTAATACTCAAGAAATTTCCAATTTGCAACATAAAATATCGTGAAAATTTTGGAGGAATAGCAAGAGTTACAATTAATCATCTTCTATAGATATATTATTATTTCTCAAAGGTGTTTTTTTTTTGCCAGATTGACAGTCATAAATTGTACTAGCTTTTCACCTGCGACTTTGCTCGCGTTGAAGCACTTAAATAAATCTTTTTTTTGAAAAAAAAAAAAAATTAATAACAAGAATCCTATCTCCCTTTTAATACCTCTAAGAATATGTGTACAAAGTTTCATGATAATCCGTTAAGCAGTTTTGGCGTGGACAAACAAACTTACATTTACGTGTATAATATTAGTAGGGGTTAGGTATTACATAATTATTATTCGTTATTACGAATATATATCTATGCACTTAACTAGTTAATAATATTTTATTAACTAGTTAATTACATAGATATATTTTATTTGGCGTTTTTTAAATAGTGAAAACACAAAATAAAAAGGAGTCAAGGTAACCCGTTGGGGTTATGTGAGCTGGTCTCGAGGTTAGATTATCCGCGCTTCTGTGAGCGGGAGGAGTATAGTCTGATAAGCACAATGGTATATCACGAGGACTGAGGTGCAGAGTCGCTCTTTGGGACATCTGTCTTGACTGCCAACTTAAAACCTGCTTGGCTTGACAGGCTTCCCTCGAGACGACTGACTCCCAGTCTTTATGTGTCTTTGTGCTATATACGTACAAATTCACTAAAAAAATTCTATAGCGTGATTATGGTCATTAAAAAAAATAAACCGAAAATCATTTTTTGTCAAAAATAAACATTTTCTTAATCTAAAAAGTAGATTAATTTGTATTTATTATACAAATTTAATATAATTGAATTTTTAAGACATTCTCATATTATGATTATAATTGAGGCTGAATTAAATATGACGCCATCTGTTGGCATAAGATCTGTAAAGCGTTTAATATGAATTAAGAATTATTTGATCCATGCTGTATGTATGGTGGTAAACATATGGCATGGATCAAATAATTCGGAATAGAGATAAACTGTTTTCTCTATTCCGTGGCATTGACCAATGGCAATAGTTTGTTTAACAAAAGTGATGATATGACGACTGATGAAAAGACCATCAAAATTGATTCGCCGTGAAGAATTTTAGACTGACATCATCTAGGCCTTGTATTTCTTAAAAAAACCAGTGCATTTAAATTTACTGAACGAAACATAAAATTAGATTTCTTATATCACGACTCTTAAATATTTTATAACTACATTCTTCCCTTCCATTATATTTAGTTATTAAATGTTTATAATAAACGTCTTGACCTATGAAATTGCCGTTTTGTATGAAATAAGTTAAAGCATTTGTTTTTCAAAGATATCTTATTTATTTTATGTGAGAAAGTGGCAAACGAGGTGGCGCTTCACCTGATGTTAAGTGATAACCGCCGCCCATGAACATTTCCAAAACCCGTATGGTTGCAAATGCGTTGCCACCTTTAAATAAATTGAGCCCCGGCTACCTCACTCGTTAGACGAAACGCAGAAGTATAACACTTCCAATTTACGCCGGTCTTCGGTGAGGTCGTTGTACTTACCCGGACGGACCTGCCCATTCGTGCAACAGAGAACAGTATTCAAAGTAATCACCAGGACAATCTATGCATCTTTGCCAACGCAGTGGTAGTTTATTGACGCCGTTCTCGTAAAAATACAAATACTGACAAACTCATAAATTTCAAGGTGATTGTCAAATGATTATTTTACTGAATATGCAAAAATTTTGGGTTTATTTAAATGAAAAATTTAACAATGCCTAATAATTAAAAAAGAATTCAAAATGGAACGATAGCGATCAGACAACAAATGACAATAGCCGCGAAAAGAAAATTTTCGTCTATTAACAGATCTACGCTTTAATACAATAATATCTTTGTTAGAAATATCTTTTCCCTCTTCACGTACGATTCCACGAAAATAGTGTGGAGAACTATTACACGTACTAAGTCCGTATCGCGTTTAGACCCCTAGACTCCACCGGCAAGGGTGTGTGTTACTTTTGTACGCGCACAGTATAGCACGCTTGTGCACGACATGTTCACTGAGCAGAGTTTCTGCCTTCAGTTCATGGATAATACATATAAAATATGCTTCCGTTTTTAATATGGACTGGACGAAAACGTAGTGCTTTGTGCTGCAGCTTGTGTTTTATTATGTAGTCTGCTTAAAAAGAATCGAAGATGCGAAAGGAAACTGCGATGTTGGGTGAGGCCCTTCCTATAACGACACAATGAAGTAACGAAGCAATTTGTGAAAGAAATAAAAATAAATCCATTGTGTGAAATTAAAATTTTCAGTCGTATATCGTGGGAAGACTTGAAGTTGCTTTTGGCGCTCTAAAGAAGATATCATAATTTTATCGTTCGTCCAATTCGTACTTAACTATACATTTTATTGTGGTTGAGCCACGCAACAGCTTCTACTGTTGCACAAATGTGCAGGCTCGTCCAGGGAAGTACCACGGACTCTCAGAAGACCAGTCACGGTCTTTTCAGTCCATACATTTGATATTTGTATGGAGCTTGCTCATTCCGTTTAGTTAAATCCGTTGGCGTACAGATGGCGTCGTTTTAAATGAAAACCATTATAATAACTATGGTACCATTAAATTAAAAAAAGTATTTAAATTGTATGAATGGTTCTTATTTTGGAGAAAATTGTATTTTATTAAACAAATATTATTAATTTGAAAGAAAAAAAGTAAGCAAAATGCTGGAAGTAATTTTAAACAGTTTAACGGAACGTTACCGACGTGACTGCAGCCGGTTATTATTCAAACAACAAAGATTAAAAAAATAGTGAGTGAATATTATAACGAAATAAAGTTCGCAAAACATATTTCTGTATTTTATTGACATTATTCAATAATAACTTCCGCTATTGGCTTGTATAAAAATAACAGTTTTCTATACAATGTTATCAAATATAAAGTAAATAAATTTCATAAACACTATATAGAAAACTGTACTTGAATACAGCTCTCAACTAACAATTAAAACAAAATGGTTAATAATTAGTGTAAGTTATACATATCTGAATTTGTAGTTCGGTAACGCATCAAGAGATGGCGCTGTCTCACGAGAACACTGATAACTAAGACCAGTGAAGTGGAAATTTTAAACTTTCGCGTTTCGTCTGGTGAGTGCGGCAACCGGGGCTCACTTTTTTAAAAATTGTCAACAGAATATATGTATATATGTCTTATCTATTATTATATTTATCTTCTTATCTTTTATTATTATTATTATTATCTATTATTCTTATTTCAGTATATATGTACATAAAATATCACTACCTACTAGTAGACGCACAAATATTATCCGTCATTGCAAATACGAATAACCACTATTCTATTGTTTTTAAATAATTAGCGGGAAATACTTCCGGTTTAAATTTAACATACGATTAGGCACCGAAAAAATTATATACAGCCAATATACTAATATCGATTTTGAAACTCGATTACAGATTTTATTAAATCTTGGTTAAAAGCCCTTAACTTATTAAAAACTAAATATCAATGTATTATAAACTAAATATAATAATGAAAATACATTTTTTATATTTATTATTTTTATTTATTTTCATTACAAAGCTTTTAAAATCTTCATCTTTAACTTATTTGTTGTTTTATGTTAAAAATAATAAATATTCAAAATTAGTTACTTCTTTATAAAGTTTGACTCTTCCACGTGCTTCGCCAGAACACTCGCTATGTCGCCCCTGAGTGTCGCTTCACCCTCCGACGCGAGGTTCTGGCTCCGCCTTATTATGTTCACTCTAGGGGTAGGGACCACAAAACCACATGGAGTCGGGGTGCTCTGTGTCGGATCTGGGACTCATTTTGAACCTTATCTAATCGGAAAAGGTTCCGTGATAAATTAAAAAGATGCAACCATAAACCTAACCAATTAGTTAATAAATGTTAAACCTAATTTAGCTTATTTCACAGTAATTTAAATTGTAAAAAAATGTAATCGATTTATAATCGATATAAAATTAAAAAAAATGTCCATAATATTTCAATATGAATAACGTTGGTTTATTTGATATTGGCGCCTAATATTTAAGACTTTTCTTGGATTATAACCCACACACACAAACGCACGCACGCACGCACGCACGCACGCACGCACGCACGCACGCACGCACACACGAACACACACACACACACACACACACACACACACACGCACGCACGCAAGCACGCACGCAAGCACGCACACACACAGACACGCACACACGCGCACACGCACACACACACACACACACACACACACACACACACACACACACACACACACACACACACACACACACACACACACACACACACACACACACACACACACACACACACACACACACACACACACACACACACACACACACACACACACACACACACACACACACACACACACACACACACACACACACACACACACACACACACACACACACACACACACACACACACACACACACACACACACACACACACACACACACACACACACACACACACACCCCGCGTGCGAGGGAGGCGCATACGAGCATTATGT